ACAAGAAACTTCATTCCGGAGCTTTGCCTCGGCGCTCAACTATGTAGTGACGATTGAAGTGGCATGTGCTTGCCATTCGTGACACCGTAGCGCGAGGTGGCAAAGCGCCGAACGAAACACAGTATGAGCACTGCAGCACAAGTTGTGCTTGGCTATGCTACCACCGACAACCACTACTCAATGCTTACTCGATCAAATGTGATGCCCGTGACAATAGTGATTCGATCTTTGTATGTGATGCTGGTGATGTTAGTGACTGGATCTCGATGAGCAGTGGTGATGAAGGGTCGATGTGATTTTTTGGTTGTTTTGGTTAGTGATATGTTTTGGTTGTTGGGTTGGTAGTGGTGGTAGTGGTGGTGCAATAGTGGTTGTGGTATTGGCGGTGGAATGTTATAGTGGTGGTTGTTGGTGGTTGGATACCTCATAATAGTGGTTGTCATGGTTTTCGTTGGAGTAGATTGGATCTAGTGGTGCTGTTGTGGTGGCGACAGAGTGGGGGTGGTCATAAGTGGTCATGGTGGCAATGGTAGTGGTGATGGCGGTAGTGGCAGTGGTGGTGGTGGTATGTGATCACTAGTTGGTGTATGTGACCAACTATTTGGTTATTTATGACCTAAAAATTTGATAATTTGTGATCAAATAATTTGAAAATCTATGATCGATAAATAAATTGTGACCTATAATTTATTTTATTTATGATCAGTTAATTTGATAATATGTGAAGTTGTAACGTATAATTACGCACATGTGACCATTAATTGTATAATTGTGATTTTAATATATTTATTTAATTAATTAATACCTAAGTTTTGAATTTCGAAACTTAAAACCTGAAAATTGAATTGCCCATGCTAAATGCCTAACTTATGAAACCCTTGTTAACAATGTCACATTTTGTGTTGTCACACGAGATGGTAATATACTGAATGGTAATACACCGAAGATGATTATAATATGTCCCCTTTTTTTAAAAGAGACAAAGAAGAGATGAAGAGTAAGCACAAAGACGAAGCAAAATGAGGTCGTGGCCAGTGAGAGATTGAAGCACGACAAATGGCGAGGACCAAGCTAACGGGAGGGATGAGGGTATGGAATGCCACTAGTTGTGCTCGTTTTGCCTAGAAAAGTTGTATGAAACTTAATTACTCGTTTTTATATAAATTAGTAGTCTTAGGATCCATTTGATAGGTAAATGTAGATAGGAATTCAAATTCCATGTTAGTTGGAAAATAAAAATCCACCAAATCCATATGAATTCGTTTTACATGAAAACAAAGAAAATGCAGTTTAAAATGGTTATATCTTGAAATTTGGTTTCAATTTCTATGTTGCAATCAAATGGCCAAAGTGAAATTCATTTACCTCGGATATGACATTTTCCATAGAATTCGTTGTAATCAAATAGAGCCTTATATACATTGAGGTTTTTTCAACACTCAAATTAGGACAAAATGTCTTTAATAATAATAATCCATGTTTTATTAAACATTTAAGATTGTATGGTTATGTTTTACTTAGAAAAATTGAACAGTTTATTTTCGTATAAATTGACAATCGTGTAATGTTTCTTAAGACCTAGGAATGGCAATGGAGCGGGGTCGGAGAAACCTCCCACGCCCATCCCCCGTTTAAGGCGGGGCGAGACGTGGCCCTTGCCCTGTTTACTACCCCTTTTAATTTTTTTTTAAGTTTTTGATAATTTATTTTATCGCCCTAATTTATTAGATTGAGACAAATAATTTTAATTGTCATTTTCTATTAGAACTAATAAAATTTTCCATTTAAAATATTGAATTCTAAAAAAAATAAAACTAGACGAGTCGGGGCACCCCTTGCTAACAAAATTCTTCGCCCCGTCCCCGCCCCGAATACCTGATTAAATGGGTAATCCCAACCCCGTTCGGAGACAGGGCCTCGTGAGTATCGAATTTTTTTGACATCCCTGTTAAGACCGTGTTTTACTTAATATTTAAGGGTACGGTGTCATTTTTTGCCAAGACAAATTAAACACAAACTTAATTACTCATTTTCATATAATTTGCAATCTTAAAGGGGAAAATTGCTGCCACGGTACCAAATCTTTCACATTTTTGCAGACTTTGTCCAAACCTTTGTTTTGTGCCACATACGATACCAAACATTTAAGCAATTCGCACCTGGAGTCCAAATAGACGGTTTTCGTCCAGTTGACCGTTAATTGACCAAAAAAGTCAAAATTGACCAAATTGATTAAAGATAAAATGATAACTTTATATTTTACATTTAAAATGATTATAAAGAAAATAAAAGAAATAAAAAAACAACTATTCATCTTCTTCAACCTCTCTTCCACCTCCCCCGCTCCTCCACCAACACCCAACCACTTCTTCTACACCCTAATCAAATAGCACCCTACAGCCGCCGCCATCTCCGTCACCGCCAACGACAAGTTCGAAAAGAAAAACCCATATGGTTTATATATAAAAAAAAACTAATACCCATAAATTTTTTTAGCTCAGCTCCATCTTGATATGCAAAAATTTCAGCAACCCAGATGAAAACACATATAACTAGAAAACTGAGAACCCATTTAAAATGTTTCGTGATTTATTCCTTCTGCAGTCAAAGTAACTTAGATTTGCTTCGAATAAAGGAAAATTGATAATGGATCTGTGTAAAAATACACGACTGAAAATGCTAAAAAGCAAGATCTGAACTTACTGTTGGGAATTTACTTAATCATGAACAGCGGAAATAAAACAATTNGAGGAAAACCCATTTGCCAAATTGTGATTTTGTGTACTGGATTTGCGAGGAAAGGCAGAGAGGATCTAAGATTTGGGTTTTCCAGCAACGTTTCATGTCTTCTATTCATCATCTTGTTGTTGGCGGTGACGAAGATGGTAGTGGTTGTTGTTGGCAGGAATTTTGGTAGTGGTTGTTGTTGGTGGTGACGGAGACGTGCCTCCGCCGGCTATAGGGTGTAGAAGAAGATGATTGAGGTGTTGGTGGAGGAAGGGGTGGGAGGGAAGAGAGAGTGAAGAAGATGAACAGTAGTTTTTTTTTTATTTCTTTTCTTTTTCTTGTCTTTATAATCATTTTAAATGTAAAATACAAAGTTACTATTTTATCCTTAATGAATTTGGTCAATTTTGACTTTTTTGGTCAACTACGATCAACGGATCGAAACCGTCCTTTTGGACTCTAGGTACGAATTGTTTAAAAGTTTGGTACCGTGGTTGGCACAAAATAAAAATTTAGACAAAGTCTGCAAAAATGTAAAAGATTTGTTACCGTGACTATAATTTTTCCATCTTAAAATTATGTATTATAATTTATAATTGAACTTTTGCTGAAAATTCGTAACTTATTTATGGGTTTGCTCAAAATTACCTCTTGGCCCTGGCTGGACTCTTCACACGCGCACACTCGTTTTGCCAACATAGGATATACACAATTGACTCTCACTGCTCTCATACAGATTTTGCAAAACCAATCAACAAATATCTCTTCAGTCTCTCTCTCTCTCTCTATTGTTCAGACTGTTCGATATCATCTGTTTGTGCTCTTCTTCTGCTTCATTTGCGCTTTGCTCATGTTTTTTGATTTTGTCAGGGGAAACTTTTTGGGTCACAAATTGCGAAATCTTAATCTTGTCTAATCCCTCTGTTGAGTTTTCAAGTTTCTTGATCTGGCTCTTTATAATCCTCTTCAAGATTACATTTTTTGCTATAAAAATCATATCTTTAGCTTTTTTTCAAGTTATTTTTGAAACCTTTGCATTGAAAATTCACATTGGGCTTGGTGGTTTAGGAGTTTCGGTTCATCACTTGGTGTGTGGCAGATTCATTCTAGTGAGTTCTCTAATGGTTTCTTGGTGAGTTTCATATCTTTTTTATTTTTCTTAATTATGTAATTTTGTGGGTTTTATACTGTTATTTGGTTCTAATAGGGGGAAAGATAATTTTTTTTGAAAACCGTATAGTTATTTATAGTTTCATTACTCCATGGATCTAATCTTCATTGTTTCTGAAAAATGATTGAAAGATTAATGTTTTATTGTCAATTGTTTACTGGGTTACTACTGAAGTCCAAGTTCAGTTTGTGTTATAAACTGCATATAACAAGTGAGAGCATCTGGTTTTTGATGTGGGCAAGCGTTTAGGCCAACTAGGATGGAGAGGTGAAAGTTGTGTTAAGGATTCTGATTTTGGTAGAAGTTAGGAGTCCTTTTGTTGTTATGTGGGATAGTAAAATTGGTTCTTCACATTAATCCAATGGTTGTAAAAGATGTTGTAAGTATTCAACCACCTCGTCTAAAACAGCTTAAGCTGATAAAGAGGGACACATTTTTGGTTCAACGTGCCCTCTCATTTCCTTAACAAAGATCTATATATGTACAATTTTTAGGGTTGGAACCACCACATGTGAAGGCTTAAGCTATTGGATAAGGTGGTTTGGCACTAAGCTGCTTTATGTCAGAACGTGTAAATTCTTAAGATGTTTAGTGTATGCGGTGATGAAAATTTTTTCCAACATTTACTACCCAATCTTTGTGTTTTCATGATTCAATGTTGTATTATGTTCTTCAACTCAGTTTAGTGTTTAAAATATTTGGTACTATATTCTTCTCGTGTCTATTGAGAACAAGGATTAGCTTACTGTTCTTGTTTTATACTCTTTTCTTGTGCCTTTTATTGACTACTTGAATTAAACAGGTGGAACGATTATGATGATATACTATATTTTCACATCCTTACGTGCCCTTACAAACACGTGATTTTTATAATTAGTTTGATTAATTGACATAAAACGATTTTTTTTGCCAAATTTTTCTAAGAATGTCTAACACTGTATATACGATAATTTTCCATATAGTGGTTCATATTGATTATTTCAGTTGTGAAGACCTCATTGATTTTAAACACACTCATGAAATTCAAAATTAATTTTTTTATGGCTACTTTGTTTCACAGAAATATCCATTGCTTGCGTGATTTTATCTGGGGTATAAGATTATGGGTCGGGGTAGAGCGAAGGGGAAGAAATTATCAGTAACTAACCAGGATGATCCTGGGAGCGGCGAGGATGAGAAAATTCCTGCACAGAAGAGAAGGGGAAGGCCACAGAAATCACTTAAAGACGAGATAGATGAGGTCAAAGCACAGAAAATAGGAGATGAAGATAGTGAGGATACGGCAACTGGTATGCTGAACAAAGAAATGAGAGGTTCAAATGCGACACAGAATGGGAATAAAAGAAAGAAGAATGGCCAATTGAAGGAGAAAGCTGATTCAGTTGAAGATGAAAATGAAAATGGGACTAGATCAAGCACTGAGGACTCGAATAAGTCAAATGGCTTTCGTCCAGCTCGTAATAGGCGAAAAAATAAACCCTGTCGAGCTGCAGAAGTAGGTGTGGATTTGAGACTGTTTTAGCTGTTGGAATGGAGACCTAGTACATCTCTACCTTTGTTCTTTCTTTATTCTTCCTCAGTTTTGGTTCTTTATCAGGAATTTGTCTTAATTTTGAAAGATTTTCGGATTATTACACTCGGGATTTTGATGTTGCAATGACATATGCGAGGCATCAGTACCATTTTATAGCAATAATATTATTCTGATGTTCAGATGATTGCCTTTTCTGTTCTTGGTGATTCTATTAATATCATGCACCCCTTAATCTCTTGTTTTCTTACCGAGTAATATGATGTAAAAAGTTGGGGGAATTTTGCTGTCAAACTTTCAGTTTATCTTTGGTTGGACTGTGACTCTACACTTATCTCATCGACGGTGGATCGACTTGATATTCCTACCATCTATAAAAGACTTAAGGGAAAATCCATTTTTTGGGACAATAAGGGCGTTCGGTCTTTGTATACTTCTTTTTCATTATAGTGAATAACTTGCAGCCACGTTGAGGATGAACAGTTATAAATTTAGGTGCACGCTTTAGTGTGTTTCTGATTTTATTTTGTGCATTACATAGACTTTGCATATAATGTTATTGCCCAGTTCAATTCCAGCTTTAAACATTAATGGCTAGTGGCCTATTCTGTTCGTTACAGGTCAAAGATAAGTTTTGGTTAGGTTCATTTTAAAGAGTTAAGCATAAGCTGAATTAAAGATCACATGCTTTTAGCTTGACACCACAGGTATCTCTTTTTCCTAATCGGGATGAATGGAAATTGGCCCTTGAGTGCAAAAATAGAAGGAAACTTAATGTAAGATTCAATTGTTGAGTGGGCATGAAAGTCGGTCTTGGTGAGCTGATGAGTGAAAGAGCCATCACTCGATACAACAAATAACTTTATTCTCAAATTATTTGAGTTTGATTACATGAATCTATGAGAGCAAAATTAAGAAAATAACAAAACAGAAAGGTGATGTGACTGCTCTTATACATGGAAAAGAGATTGACGTGTGGAATGATGTAGGATTCCATGAGAGTCCACAAGTAATTGATATTCCTCCTTTGAGGATTTAAAGTCGATCACTAGACAATAGTAGAATACTATGTTAGCCACATAATCCATTAGTGCTATGTATCTAGTCATTTCTCGCTCTTAACCGCTCGGCACATTCGTGATACAAATTGATAAAATATGATAACATAACACTTGTCGTTGACTATTCGATTTGACATGTCTTCTACCACCCACCATCTATTTTCTCTACACATACTCCAAGATCACCCCACTCCAAGATAAGATGAAAAAAATAAAAAATAAAAACTTTCTACATTTATCTTTTTAGCTTAATTCTATATGGTTCTAACTTGACATTTAAATTGAGGATTGTCATCCGTGGTCAGACTCACTAATCGAGTCTTGTTTTGTAGATTATCATGAAGACACATATATCCTTTATTCAAAGAGTTCGACAAGATTTGAAATCAACAACAAATATATCCACACAAAGGATAAGTGTTCTCGACAGAGCATTCAATTCACAGGTCCTGCAAAAAATGCAAGAAAATTCTGTCCTCTATTAAGGTAAACAAGGAACAAGTTTCCGGTGCAAATTCAGATATGGAATATGTTTTTTTTTTTTTTTTTGCTTATTTCTCAATAATTTACTTATTTTCACCATATAAAGGGTTAGTTTATCAATGCTGTAACATCAAATTATCGATTAAGATTATATAATCGTAGTAGTTTTCTTCCTGGCATTGTATTTGTAGCATCGTTATCATCTGCCTATCAGGTTTCTGCTGACCATATCACTATGATTTTTGCCACAAAAGATCATGTGCATCTAAGTTTAAATGTGGCGTGCTACATCGACATGAGTCATGTCCCATCAACTTAAAAGTTGAATACATAGTGTTACATTAAACAAGATGATACAGACTGCGAATAAATTATGTGCTTTCGGAACTATATAGCTTGAAGTAGGAATGCCTTAAATTTATCTACAAAATCCAAAAAGTGTGGCCAAATGTAACTTTTATTCTACCCTTTTGTTTTCAGCTTCATACTTCAACCAGTCATTTAAAATTTTGCTCACATGGAACATTATTACATCAAATGGAAATGCTATTAGGCACACCCTTCCCTGTTACACCAGGTTCAGAAAATGGCTTCAAAAGTTGATATGGAACTACCCCAGCTCCAGATCTGTTCTTTAGATTTCCATCTGCATTTCTAGCATCAATGATACCGTCAATCTCCTTCAATTTGCCGTTAAACCGTTTGAATGCAGCTCTTATATACTTATCTTCTTCCCAGAACGGCTGGATCTTCTCCCCGAGATACTCCTCGTCAGGCGAATGGTTTGACAAAACGTCTAAAATAGCCATCACACTTGTTGCTTGAACTTGTGAAGGGAAACAGGCCAGGAGAAACTCCTCGGGCCTATTCAGAAATTGCTCCTTCTCTGCATCGTTTGGATCTTCTGTTGGCATTTTTGCTCTAGCAATGGTAGGCCTGTTTGGGAAATATCCTGCGAAATCATATTGACCAAAGTTTACAGCAGCATGGTGACCTGAAGTTATCCATACAATGTTGGTGAAAATCCCAATTAGGTCATCTGGTGTTTCTAACACCGGCCACCAGGACTCGTCCTTCTTGTCCCCATGGCCGACTGTTCGAATTTCAGTCCACCAGGCTTGGAGTTCACTGTCAGATTTTACGAGATTTGCTTCGGGATAGTAGTAAGTGACATAGTCCGTAATCCATTTCTTGATGGCATCCCAAAGAAGTAAACCATCGTTGGCATAAGGGTAGTCTTCTATTGTTAGTTTTAGGCCATGCAGAGCTGTTGGATCCTCCACCGCCATTCCCCTATGTAATCCCAAAGTCATAAAACTATTCAGATAGGCGTGTTTTGCACTAAATTTCAATAAATAAATGTATTGACTTTTTATAAGCTCAAATTTTCAGATGATGTGGTTCAATAACTTACCTGTTAATTAAATCAGCAGGCAGTGCCTGAAGGTCAAATTGCCATAGTTGGTCGTAGGCAGCAGAGCACAGCTCTCCAGAGTATTTGCCTGGGGAGAATGCCTTCTCAATGATTCCATTTCCATTAATAAGGGCCTCGCGAGCTAAAGCGTTAATCTCCATTGTATATCGAAGGTGAGGATGTAATAGTCTGTAAATCGGGTGCATGGCGCTTAATTGTCTATTGCTTGCAATTATGTAAGGCTCCACACAACAATGAGTTCTTAGCCTGCATGGCGATAAGGAATAATGCTTAGCTTGTTATTTTAGACAGTTTTAGGTTTTGCGCAAACCTTGAAATTAAAATTAAAACAAGAAAAGGTCAGGGTTTACCAGTGACTGACTAATTGATGAAGACCAGAGTCATGAGCAAGGACATGGGCTTTAGCCAACCTCCACAGCCAGATACCAGTGGCGTCCCAACACGACTGGAATACTTCCTTCCATTGGGGTTTCCCATCTATTGGTGGCCGTGTTAGCTCAATGGCCAAGGGCCTCAACGTGCCTGAAGGCATTAAGAAAAACAGTGTCCTCGATCCGTACAGAGTTGTTCCCTTGAGCTCTCTTACTTTATTCACATAAGGTAATAACAAATCATGATAATCTAAAATGAACAGTTTCTTTTGCTCCAATGCCTGCAATGGTACAGTAAATAAATTGAGTTTAGATTGCGAGGAAATAGATTGTGTTGAGAATTAGCTGTTCATATCTTACCTTCTCAAGTGTCATCAAGCCTCCAATTTCTTGTTCGATAATTTCCTTTGTGATTGCTGATTCAGCAGGTCCATATACCTCAGGGTCAAGTTTGCTCTTCAGTGACCATTCCTGCATTCAATTAGGAATAATGAGATACTGTAATGTTCTTTCTCTTTAGTAATTCCAAGAACCAAACATGGAACGAAAATTCACGAACTCTATATGCACGTAACTAAAGAAGGAAAACAATTAAAGGATTAGCAAAGATTAACCTATATCAATATATCTAAAATTCCAATAAAATTTTGATATTCTATATTTTATTGGAATATTTTATCAAGTGCTTCGTAGTCGGTAAGAATTTGGTCAAGAAGAAAGATGTGTTTCGAATTATCTTAGATCAGCAGAAACCAGAGCTTACAAATAGCATTATGCAATACATTTTCGCTACTTGTTCACGAGAAGAAAGATGTGTTCAAATTGAATCAGAAAGCATACCGTAACTAACTTGATGTTGCATGGATTTACTCCTGCTAGAGTTTGCCGAGCAAATTCCTCGTCCCTAAACCAACAAAACCTATCTCCTGCAAGAACGACCACAAGTATATCGATCTAAGGTGTCATCATTGTCCTGAAACAAATTACTTCATGCTTGTGCTTGTCCTCATGCACACGTGTACACTTCACACAAGAAGAGTGAGAAAAGACTTGGAAATTACTATTAGGAATATTGGGCCTAACTCCACCTAATAAAACCAGCTTATTAGGGGAGGATTGCCCTCTCCTTATAAAGTGGATCATTTATATTTTCCCAAACAATGTGGGATTCTAATAATTACTGTCAATAATTTCTGGTGTCTCAAAACGCAGGATTTTATTCTCGACATCTGTAATAGCCTTTACAATTCGGGGTAGAATATTTCTCAAAAATCCGGTAGCACTTTGCTCTGGTAGCTCGAATCCTTCATTGAACAGAGTCTCTATAGCGGTGAAGTTGGGAAATCCAAGTTCACTGTCTATTACAGAAGTCTGTATCGTCGGTACCAATGAATGAAGCACTGAGTACAATGTTTTAGCAGAGAATGTCATCTGCTTCACTTCTGAAAATGCCTCGTCTCTTGGCACATATACACTGAGGCTCCTCGACTCCGACAATGGATCTACGAACATGTATCAAACAAATGAAAATAAATAAATTTAAATTACAGATTCATACCTTGACTGATTTACATCATCAAGTTTAATTTTCGAGCCAAAAATGGAATAAAAGTTTATTTCAAAAAGACACGATATAGTTCAGTGATGTTTCAGTGAATCTTAAAACTGAACTCAATCGTTGTGTTACACTCAGCATCATTTACGTATCTTGAAATTGATATTAAGATTCATTTTTTAACTTACTTTCAAAATAAGTAACTTTTTTCAATAAAAGTAAATTATCAAAAAATTGTTGGCTATTTCACACCTTTCTTCGTTTTAGGCCGTCCAGTTCTGCACCGTCGAGGAAATGGATGTTCGGCTCCGCCGAGCACCGGTCGCGCCAATTCGTCTCCGTTGTCGGGTCCGCCGAGATCATTGTATACATCATAATCGTATATCCTTTCGAAGGCCTTGCGTTCTCCTGTGCCATTGCCTCGCAGAATTTCGAGCTCTTTTTCTCTGTAACTCTTCAGCCCACTGGGTGTTTCAGTTGGTAAATACGACTGCACGCTCAATTTATAAGTAAATAAGTAATTTTGACATGGATACTTTTTAAAGTGTTCTAAAATGCACATATTTGCTCGAGAAATTCTCGAAACACTTCTCATATGTGGTATGTGCATGATAATGTGGTCGGCCCATTTCATTGACTGTATATGCACGCTTAAAAGCCAAAATGAACACGCATTCGAGTTAAAAATTGTGTCAAAATTAGCCTAACAAAGCCTAGTCCATTTTTATAAATTAAAAAAATAAAAAAACAAATTGAGTCCAATAAACATTAAATTAGCCAAAAATCATCTAAACCCATGAATTATATATATAGCAATATGTAGGGTTTTGACTTTTAGAAAAATAAAAAATTAAACAATTTTTTTGTAAAATTGCAAACTATCCATGTTTAGCTTGAGCCTCATTCTTTTTCGGCCTTCCTTTAGTTTTACTAGCAAGTAATGCTAGTAATGTGCAATCTTTAATTGTTGATGATTGTGATGATGAGGAGGAGGAGGTTAACAATGATATTTTATTATCTACAAGATGTAATAGAAATTCTCGGATTGAAATAAAGGAGCCCGATTAAAATGATTTTGCATCGGATGACACGAATAATGAATTGGATGAAGATGAGGATATAGAATTGGAATCCAATAAAGAGTTCAAACAATATTTAGGATTTTTTTAAGTTATGTCTAATCTAATTGTAGGAATTGTTTACAAAGTAATTGTACTATGTATAATTGTGATCAATATATTTTTGTTGAAAATTTGAAGAATATGTGTTAGTGTCCGAACTCCCAAAACCACCCCGAACTTACCTTAATGTAAAAAGAAAAGCTTATAAATATTCAATCATCACTTAAAAAAGGACGAACTGGAAGATCATCAAGTCAGCTCGACCCAGGCACGTCAACGACTTATGACAGGTCAGCTCGATTCGTAATTGTTCAGCCAGACTCATAGCAAGTCAGATCGACCATATGACAGTCAGCTCGGCCCATGGCCGTCATCATCTAAAACATCATCATTGCAATCTTGAACACATATCTTTTTAATGATGTCATCACCACCCAGACGACCACTCCCAAAGCGACAAATGGCACCCATGACATCAGCATCTCATTTTTAGCCAATAAAAAATTAGCAATGATTACCTAAGTGATGGATAATTATAACATAGGCCACAACTACGACCTAGATACCATGATGACTTATTCAACGAACCTCAACAACCAATCAACAACATTAAATCTGAGCAGTGGGATGCATTTTTAAGCTGGCACTCTGGCTAATTTGATGTCTAGCGGCCATGTTGCTTGATTAAAGACTTATAAATAGAGGCAAATGATCCCCTCCAAAAGGCCAAACTCAATGCATATTCTCTTCAATACATTCCAAACTTCAATAAATGAAATTATCCCTTAATTTTCCTAAATTCCAGCAATCACTCCACTAATTTTCTATTAAATTGGTCTAAATTTCCCAAATTATTTTTAGTCACCAACAAGGTTCAAGTAATTGTAGTATTTATAATTTTGAGTAATTTTTTTTTCTTGAAAAATTGAAGAATTTCAAAGAATGGATTATTCTATTGATTTATTAGTTTAAGTTATTTAAAATAATATTAAAATTGAAAAATGCATAATTACGCATATGCTTGTAATGCTTAATACTAAATCAAAACACATTGTCACACGTGTTTTAGAACCTTGTTTTTGTATTAATCAAATTATGGATATGTAAATTAATTATTGGAAGGTCAATTAAAACTAGTTTTAAAATAATAATTTCTATTTAATTTTTATCTCACTAAAAAAATTAAATATTTAAATCATTGATGCCACTTTCTTAGTATTTTAATGTTATGATTACTTTGATTTTCTAAAATTAATATAGTTCGTGTTTAGTGTGGACTGAAATCAAATTTTTAGTAAATTTTAATAAAAATTGATGAAATATGTGATTAAAAATATGCACGTCCCATAAAATGTGTGATTAAACTTAATTATTGACTTTGATTTTAATTAACATTTAGATTATAATTTTACCAAACAGGGCATAATATAAATGTTTAAGAGAATAAAAACAACCAATAGATAAAAAAAAAACTATCAAATCAAGCTTATAAAATATTTATAGAAATTTCAGTTAGCTTTATTAACTTATTTGTTAAAATGAACAATAACGGTTCAATGATGCTATATATACATCATTTTTTACATCTTTGTTTACACTTTTACATATGGTACAATCACATCTTTTGATTTCTCTAATACATTTTTACATCACTGTCAGATTGTGTCACATAGGAAGAATGTCATCCATAGTATGAAGCAAGATGTAAATGTAGCTTAATTCATAAAGGTTTAGAGTTTGTTTGGTAGGGATTTTTGGGGGAAAGAATTGATTTTTGAATAGCGATATGATGAGAAATGTGTAATTGAAAAAGAAGAAAAAATTATCGATGTGATGAAAAATATTATTTTATTAAAAAAATATGTGGTTAAAAATGAGAATTGATTTGAGAATCAATTCTCAAATAAAAAACAAACACCCCCCT